GGCAATTTTCACAGATAAAAACACATGTCTAATATTCAGCTGGAAGAGAATTTTAGAAATGAGACTTGTTTCTTAGGAACGTGAACTAAAATTAGCAACAAAAATAAGCAGTATGTTAAATCAATTAATGAGCAAAAAATATAAAGACAGTTGCCCCAGTAGATGTTAAATTCCATGACTGCTTATGAAATGTATGCACTTCCAGACTTCTGTTTACATTTTAGCTCTGACTGGCTAGTTCTGACTGACAGGTCTGGGAAATTTGGGTTGGATTAGTATGTTATGTTCTATAACACATTCTAGAAAGCTATAAAGTATTTTAATTCACTTACACAATTCCTAGGCAACACAATGCAATTTTTAGTACTGAAATCTAGTATGTTATGTCCTATAACACATTCTAGAAAGCTTTAAAAATATTATAATTCACTTACACAATTCCTAGACAACACAATGCAATATTTTAGTACTGAAATATTTCCATACATTCATACCCACATACCTTCTTTGTGACACTGGTACCAAGTCCTCATTATACATGGCCTCACATGTAATGTGTGAGCAAAATCTAGTGTAGTGGTCCTGAGTGGCTGGGTTGCACGTGTTGAGCAAGATGTTCAGTCCGAGTGGCTTGAGGGACAGAAGATACCTCCGCCACATAGGGTCATCAAACTGAAGCCCAAAAGCTGTCTGGTGGTCATGAGTCAGTGACATTAACACTGATTCTGATTCTGCAAAGCCACAGAGAGGGAGTCAAATTCCATGTTCAAGTCTCAAAAACCAAAGCATTAATTTACATAACATACTACAATATTCAGGCTTAGGGTCTACTATGAAAGACATAAAGAGCATTGGAAAATAACTAAACACTACACAGCAAAATTTTTGATCCCAGCCAAAAGTATTTCGGACATATGAAATATCTCTGCCAACTAAGAAAATACCTTTTGTTAGTTGTGGTGATATTACTTTTTCCCTCTTGGCATCTTGGAAAAGGTCATCATCTCCATAGAGGGATGGCACACTATAAAAGAAGAGAGAAAAAAAAAAAACATACTGAATCATGGCTCATTCTAATGAATTTTGAAAAAACACTTGCATGATTTTATAACAAGGCTAAATCTTACAAATGATCAAATAAAGCATAGCAGATGTCTAGAACCTTTTCACTACCAAAATAATTCAAATTCTTAAGCCTCCTCACTAAAAGCAATAACACTGTAAGTAAATATGTACCAGCAAGCAAAAATTGCTATTCCAGTTTGTCAAGGTGTGTGAACAGCTGCTGAAGTAACATTTATGTCATAAGTAAAGCACTAAAAGACAGATTAATCCATCATCCAAATAAGCATCCTAACAGCTTTTCTTCAGCTATGTCACTGACTGCTAAAGATGGCAAATCAAAATAATGTTCTACTTGTAAACCTGAAATCTTAACAAGTATTTTCATTTTTGACCATCACTATCAGTGATCCTACACACACACACCTTGATGCTAAATTATTGTGTGCCCTGTTTTTAAGAAAAAAGACTTTCTCTGCTGTTGGGTTCGGCCAAGACAACACTCCCTTCTTGTCCACACAGCAGAGGTTCTGAAAAAGGAAGTTTATTAGTATGCATTAACTAGGAAGCAAGAGTTTCTCCACAAATACAGAACAATACTAACATCCAGTAGAAGCAAAAAAATCATATAACTACAGCACCTGCTAGTACAAAGAAAAAAGAGACAAGTGGAAAACTTACGGTAACAGATGCTAAAACATGAAGCACATTGGCAGTACGAATTGGACTAGGTTCTTTACCAAGGGCTGTTAGTATAAAGTGTCTTCTCAGTTCCACCCACTTCACTGATATTTCTGATAAATGCAAAGCTTCGAGCTCTGCATCTTCAAATGGATCTTCCACTGGATCACTCTACGAACAAAGATTGGGTTTTTAGACAATAAATCATTTGAAAAGGTAAAAAAAAAGAAGAAAAAAAAATCTAAAAATAGGAAACACACACAATAAAAGTAAACAAAATCTTACCTGCATATGCTTTGCATGGTGATACATAGTGAGAATCCGGGCAATGCCTAACCAATTCAGCGTTAACCAAACCAGAGGCAGGCCAAGGGGAATCAGGGGGAGAGCTACACATACAGGCCCTATCAGGAGCACCTCAGACCAGTGGCCAACCCAGTCTCCATAGTATACTCTCAAGATGTTGATTATCAACATCAGAATCTGCAAGTGAAAACTATAGCTGGTGAAAACTGTTTTGAAAGAAAACATGATTATCTTTGAATTTGAAACTTATGAAAAAATACTAATACACAAAAATTTTACACAAAAATCATGCTTAACTTACCACAACTACGGGTAAAATGACGGTCTCCATTGCCCAACTGAAGATTAAAAACCTCTGTTTATTAAAAACTGTTATTGGTCGATTAAGAGCTTCTGCCAACACAATCCTTAAATTTGTGATATATGGGGTTTCCAACACTAAATGAGGTTGTGGCTTGAGAGGTGTCCGTGCCTTCGGAGAGCTGAATCCTTCTCCAATGCCCTCTAGGCTTGGGGAGTATATATCCCCTAAGTGAAGTTCCCCACTACTCCCTGTACCGCTCTCCTATAAGTAAAAAACGATGCTTTATTAGTGTTTTGTAATTTTATACAGATTTTAAAGCTTATTACTGGGTACCACAAGATATCCTATAAAACTCATAGTTTGCATTCACCTGCTACTGCCTGGAGAGTAAAAATACATGCTATATCAACTGTGATTTCAATTCCTCAATTTTGTTTACACATAGATGCCTCCACAAGTGCTTAGTCACCAAGGTATGAATGAGGCCTACATTACCTCACCTGATTATTCCTTGAATTCTTAGGGCCTTTCTTTTCTAATGCTTTTAATAACAATATTGTTAATATCATTATTATTGACATTTTGGTTATCATAATACCATTAACAATACTAATAACAATAGAAAAGCTATAAATTTAAACATTTCTACAAATTAAGGAAATTAAGGAAGTCTAAACAAAATTAAGAAATTAAAATCACAATTGATATGTCATATATATTGGCCATTCCAGCACCAATGGGTTAAATATAGGTCTGATCCATAACATTTACATTTTCTTTTTATTCACAGGGAGGAAACTTGCCTGCAAAGGTTTACATTTAGCAGGAACCTTTTGTCCAGGTTTGAGAAGAATAACATCTCCTTGCACCAGCAATGACCAAGGGAGATTAACAGTGTTTCCATCTCTCAGTGTCCACTGAAGGGTAATGCAAGGGGATAAAGGAGAATGCAGATGTGGATAGTTCTCTGCTGACCAAAGGACAGTTGACTGGTATTCTGAAATCAAAGATATATTTCTTGTAGTGGTTTAATGATGAAGCAAAAAACTCATGATTTTTCATAACAGTGTTCTGTCAATGTTAAATTCTTGATTCTCACCCTTTAAATCCCTTAATATATTCTGAGTCTGGTGTGGGAGCTCCTTGTGTCTGAGGCGAGTGTCCCACCACACCAGGTAAACGTTGAGAATCACTGCAGCAAAGATGAAGAAAGATTCTGCGGGAAGGTACTGATATCTGAAATTTGGAAAATTAATGTCAGCACCTCATCTTATGTAAGCTTTACCATATATATTAGCCATCCCTTCCAACCTGCTGATCCCTTCACATACCCATGCATTTACCAGTTTAGTGAACATCTTTTCCTTTATAACATAAAAAAAGAGCTTCTTACTTTGGGTCACTGCGTGCTGCATAAGCCACCAGGAGCACAATGCCTTCTACAATGAGTGCCAGCGCTGAAGTCCATCTGAAGACCGACAGGTAGCTCTTGCGATGAAAGGCTTCATAGTTAACACTCTTTTGTCCAAAGCCTTTATTCCTGAAATTCAATTTTCTTTAGAACTAGCAAAAGAAAGAATCTACTAAAAATTATAATCATCCTGGTCCTTTTTTTTCTAGAATACAACTGTAAAAATGTGTTAGACAATGTTATTTTCATGTGTACACTAATAAAGTTTTCATTATCATTATGATAACTGAATTGAAAATACAAAGCTTGTTCAAATTAACCCACTTTTCTGCCTCAGACTTTTGGTACTCCTCAAGAGCTGATGATATATCTTCATGCAAGCGGGCAAGAGCTTCATGTGTAGTCAAGCCATCACTGCAACTGGCCATTTCCCTGAAACAAATAAAATCATTTACAGTGATGAGGGAAAACTGGTTGAATATTGATAATACTGAATGTAATATGATTTTGCTAATTTTTCTTCTTTCTTTTAGGCCTAAAGAAATCTCAGTTTAAATCCATTTCCACTTAGAAACTACAAGGGAATCATCCTTACTTTAAGACCAATTCAGATCAATCTACCACTGATATTGTGAAACTTTTAAACAAGTAGCCCCCTAAAAAAATCACAAAAAGTCCTCATTAGTGTGACCCACTGTATAATAAATGTTAAAGGTTAAGCATACTCCAGAGGCAAGCCCATAGGTCTCTAAAAAAGTTTGATATATTTAACAGGAAACTTGATATACAAAAGATTAATGCTAAATTGAATTTAACATATATCAAATGCTTAAAGCAAGTAGGAAACTCATCAAATAGCAATATATTCAAATAAATAGCAATATGTAGAAATGCACCAGCAAGCAGATATTTCTGATAAATCTACCAACCTTTAAATAATAAGTAAAATTCTCAAAAAGAAAGAAATGAGAACAAGCACAGTCGTTTAATTTCTAAAAATAACATAGTATTTTTGTGAGTATTGTGACTATGATGTTTTGATCTATAATCCTATCAAAACATGTTTCTTTTATATTTGTTTTTTTCAACCCTACCCTTACTTCCTATTATGCCTACATTATGCTTTGTACTTATACTGACATATTATATTCCATTAACAATATCTAACAAAATTCTAAGATTGCAAACAAAAGATCTTCTTAACCTAAAAAAAAAACAAAAAAAAACAGAAATATTTGGGAAAAGATCGCTCAAGAACCACTTCCCTTAGTTCCCCAGATAGTACAGCAATGCCTGGCAGAAGGAGTAACAATCCCTGAACTTGACTCTGGTTCCCAAGCAACTTAAAGGTCAGTGGATAGACAGAACTCTAGAATAAAGGTTTTGTTCTCTGTGTCTAGGACATGTTTATTTTCATCTTAGAGCTCATAACCCATTTAACATTATCCAATCTAACATCTATTTCAAACAAGACTCAAGGTGCGATGACTACCAGGCACAGATGGATATATTCTACTGCTGATGAATTATGCACTGATCAAAGTATCATTCATGGATGCAAGGATGCCAGTAGACTAAAAAGCAATTAATGCAGAGGATAATATTTCTAGTGAGGAAAAAATATCTGAGAAATAAAAGCCTGCAACATTTAACATGCACCTGCAAGATTTTGTCTGAAGAGTATTCTCAGGACCGTGCATTTTCTGTTCTTGCATTTTTATTGTATATCTTGATCATCATACAATCCATAATAACTAATTTTCTTACATTTTCAATACCTCAACATTTTTTTGTGCAATTCCTGTATTTACATGATCTTATACAAACTAAAATACCATATGGGTAAAGTCTCCTGCTCCATCCTCACAGACGATGCAAAAAGATGCAGCAACTGCTTAGAAGACACACAACTGCCACTAGTTTTTTGCTGTTTTGCACAGCTTCCATGCCTATTGTCATGCAGGCAAAAACCAACACACCTCTACTACATACATTTTGGTACAACAGAATTCGTAGACCTTCCTGGTAACTTAATGCAAAATAATGCACCAGACTAAGTTCTGTCTTACCAGAATATATGTGGTTGTAGTTATTAGCCTTTGCTGGAGCATGAAACATAGAGGCTGTGGGCATTGGCTGACACAGCTGCGCACAACAATATCAGATGGATTTGGATAAAATAGAGCTGGTATATATCTATATTCTAAGTTACGAAAGCCACCTGGAGCGTCTTTTATAATTTTTTTGAATGATGTACTAAAAATAAGCCAGCCCACAAATCTTCCAAACTTGGGAGTCTGTGCTTCCATTACCCTGAAGTGACAGGCAGATACTTCAGAAAAAAAAGAAACATTCCTCATTGCATACGAAAATTTCTTGATCCCATTGCTTGCCAAGGAACTGCAATTGCAAGGTCCCACACCCCATCATCATCAGATACTGGGAGCCACAAATCAGACCTACCGGTGTATGCTACCGTAGTACCGGTACTGTTCTCGCCTTCCTGCTTGCTTTACCATATCCTTATACTCACCAAGCTACCGAGTGCAATGTACTTAATATGTTGTGTCAGTTGCACACAAGTCCCGTCTGTCGCACTGGATTACTTCATTGTGTTTCTGGTCAGTGCCGTTTTATGTCTATGGTTTCGGGGCTATTTATAATCCCCAAAATTCTTATTCTTACTCAAGTTATTCCTAAAAAGTTCACTAAAGCGGTGTTGAATATCCACGTACCAATTCCTGGTCAAAATTCTTATCTCAATCCAATGAAGGGCATAAACATTCTGGTTCCTTGTCCACCGAGTCGAACGCACTTCCGCCCTGAGATAAGGAACGCACTCGGTATTTACACTTATCAGCTGAGAGCCTCTCGGTCGTCGGGCTGAGATGGGAGCCCGAGGAGGAAGGGGAGGGGTAGTGGGAGGGGGATGGGGAAAGGTGGCGGAGGGGGAGGGGGAAGGGGGAGGAGGGACGTCGGGCAGAGATTGGGGCTCCGGGATCGTAATGCTCCGTTTTCTTTGATTCGAATTATAGAGAATGGTGTGTATTTACGGGGTGACTGTAATGTTTGACTTCTGGTAACTAGGGTCCAATAAGAGTAATGTGTGTCCGTGTTAACAAAAATCGAACAAATATTTTGCCCCAAATATCTCAATTCTCAATTCGCTTAGGATCCCTTGTCGACATATCATACCACACACAAAAAATGAAGAGAGTGGTACTTGATAGACATCCAGACATATTATATACACAAGCAAAAACACAGTAAAGTGTACACAAAATTTAAAAGGAAACTATTTGCTCAGTTTAAATTATTTGCTGCATTTCTATTAAATATAGTTATAAGCTCATAATTATTTCATCTATAGTGTTTTCTGTCGTTAAATGACTTGGCTCTTCCTGAAAATGGGGTTACTTTGTTTGCCAATCAAAAATGTTGATTTATAATATTTTAATAAAAATGTTAGCAGGCTCTCCTTCATCCCCATGGATTTTGGGATTTTCAATTTTTCATCCTTGAACACCTTGTAAATAATTCTGTTCTCTTTTGACATACTTGGAATCTAACTGCTGTAGATCATGTTGTTATTTACTTTGGTGCAAGAATGACATGATTTGGAAGAACCCTTTGCCCTACAGTGGAATGTTAGAAGTTAATTAATTTAATATATGCACGCATGTAGTGTGTGTGTGTGTGTGTGACGATTGCCATATTGGGCTTTTATTTTTATTTC